AATAAAGTGTCTTTTAAATAAAGACATAATGACGGAAAAATACACGACCTTTACTTGATTGACCATTTAATCACGACCTTTAGAAATCGGCAAATAAATACATAACCTTTACATTCTTGGCAACTCGAGACACGGATTCAACATCCGTCAACGGAAAGCTGACGTGACAATTTTTTTTAACGGCCACATCACTGAGAAGTCTGACTCAGCAAACAGAAGTCAAATCATGAGTTAAACCTTGACAGTTTAATACACCACCTTTGGTTTTTTGGCAACCCGATATACGAACTTAATTTTTTTTGGCAAAAAGGTGCCACATCAGCATTCTATTTTATTTTTTATTTAAATTCATTTAATTTACTTTTATTATTTTTATTTATTTTAATTGTACTTTTACTATTAAAATTATGTTTATAATTTAAATATATAGTTATTACGAACAAAAAAAAATAAAAAATATATTATTTTATTTATTTTCAATATATTTTATTTTATTCTAGTTCATTATTTTTTAATATTTAATATATACAGTATTTAATTAATAAATTAATATTGATATAGTAAATAATGATTAATAAATAATAGAACATATATATAGAATTCAATAAAACATATAATTAAAATCTAATATATTTATTTATTTAGATAAATAATATTACATTATTTATATATGCATTTAACATATTTATTATTTATTAATCATATTTAACATATGATTAAATTATTGATATCGTGTATTCTTACAAATTTAAAAACGATAATATAATTAATTAATAATATAAAATGTAATCCATTTTAAAAAAGAACTTTCATAACAACTACACGATCAATAATTTTTGCTTAAATAAAGAAAAAAAACAGAATTATAATATTTTTAAATGATACTTATTTTTTAAAAAAATCTTTTATGTATTATGAAAATTAAAATTAATGATTGTATTGGAATGTTAAGTGATTGCTATTATTTTTCAAGAATACTAATTAATACATATTGTAACCCATATTTTTAAAAATAATTATAAATGATAGCACGGAAAAATTCTAGATAAATGAAAGTTCATATCCGCACGAGGGTTATGTATGATTCCTTAGTTTATCTAAGATCAAATTAGCAATTGCACAACTAAAAAAGTCACAAAAATTTTGAGTGAATCTTCGCTCTTTTATGTATTATGTATTTAGTTGTAGACTCAACATAAAAAATAAATGCAATAATTAACAAAAATGTTATATAACGCCATATGAGTTTGAAACAATTATGTATTTATATAATTATTCCA